TGTTACATGAAAGTCATTTTGAATTTCTAAAATAAGAGTAGCTAGAGAATGTGCACTGAAAATAGGGGTTTCCAAAAGAACTTTTTCTTTAAACGACTATCCAAGGTGAAAATATATGATAAAATTTTATATAAAAAATTATATTTAATAGAAACTATTATTTAATAATAATATGTAAAGTTTTATTATACTGTTTTCAATTTATAAATTTTAATTTTCATATTTAAAAAAAAATGAAAAAATTTGTGGATTTTTAGAACTCATTACGAATCTTTCTATTTTATGCATTGTAAATAAAATTTAAAAAATAATCACTGTATATGCAGTAAATATTCCTTTATAATAAATAAAAGATACATGACTATTGTTTTTATTACCAATTTTAAGTAATATATATTTTTAAACAAACATCTCATCTCTATGTCCGCCTTCAAATCAAACCAAATTTCGTGCAATTTTAAAATTGAGTAATATTTTTAATTCTTAAAAACTTAATTTCATAATTATTATCAAAAAATAACACGGAATCTCACGAATTTTTAGAAAACGTTATGGGTCCTCCATTTTATGCGGATTGTATTAAAGAAGATAAAAAAAAAAAATCCTCGCGATATATGCAGAAATATTTTTTTATAATGACAAAAACATACATGACAATTAATTTTATTGCAATTTTAGGCAAAAATATTTAAACGACAATCTCACCTGTATGTCCGCCTTCAAATCTATAGGAATTTTTTTTAATTTTTGATGGAGCATTGAGCTTTCAGTACTGAATTAGCTCTGCTGTAGTTGCACATTGTCGGTGGCGATTCTGGTCGACAATTTTCGTGGCTTTCGGTGAACCCAGCACCAGAACATCCGGTACCGTGGCCATGATGAAGCACAGTAAGAAGAATCCGTTAATGAGAAAAATGCTCATCTGCAACAGAATCAGCGGAAACATACGCTTATAAACTTTGCCGCACCGGATAATTAATCCTTCGCGAAGATGCAATATTTGATATTCCCTTTTTACACCGCCTCATATCATTTATAATATTTTAGTATTACACAATATATCCCCATCTTTTTCTATTACTTTTAATAAATTATATTTATTATTTGTTAGAATATGTTATATATTATTTTATATTTCATATATATTTTATTATTTATATTATCAAGAACAGCAAAAGTAAACGACCAGACTGACTACGATTCAAAAGTTATTGTTGACACATTCAACCGACTATTCTGGTCAAGTGTCTACACTTAATACATCTAAATTAAATACAAAAAATATGACAATTAGTACTAAAAATTGATAGTAAAAAATAAAGTATAAAAATATTACACATAACGCGATCTAATTGATATGAATTTCCGTAACAATATAATAAATTATCGAACATTATAATTGTCTACCGGCATGCAAGATACAAAATAAACAAAAAGAAATGAAAAGGGAACGGAAATGATCGTGCGCGTATGATATATATAAACAGTAGACACTATAGTAGTTATAAAAGCGAAATGATAAAAATGTGTCACATTATCTAGAGAAAATAGTCAACTTAAAATACCACAGAACTTTACTTTATTACACAGATACGTTAAAATTAAGTTGTGTAATGAGTTGAGAGACGATGTGTGTCAATCGAGAATTCAATACGTATTAAGTTTCCGTGTTGGTATTAAAACAATAACTGTGAACAAGAGAGGTATAGCTGTTTCGGAAAAACTGTATATGATATTAAGAATCAAAATCGTATATTGAATTTTCAAATTGTCTGTGCCCTTCTGTAAATTCATGGAGTTTTTATGCATTATTATAAAACCGTTTCCGCAATATCTCTTTTTATGTAATGCGTTTCTGTAGAATGGAGGGAGATTGCCAGTCAAATCATAATGGAAAGTTATATATTATACATACAAAAATTAATACGCCAAACAAATTTACTCTTTATTAAATTTTCGAACGTTTCGACCATTTTTCATGGTCATTTTCAATGGAGGTACATTAAAAAAGCGAGTTACATTCTTGTCTATATAATATAAATTTATGATTGCAAAACGCCAGTTGTATGAAAAAACTAAGTATTACACTAACAATCGTAAGACACGGAGAGTAAACAATTTTAAAAAACTGTTGCAAAACAAATCGCTATTGCATCGATAAAAAGCAGCGACGACATGAGTGATCGGCTTGAGAGAAGTTTATTGAGACATCGAGAAATAACGGCATTTCGAGTGACATTTTGAAAGTGAGAGACATCGCAAGAGAAAAAACCGCCGCACATTACTTCGTGACTATATCGCAAACACTGAATCAAAAGAAATATAATAAAATACTATGAAAAATACTATCGTTTAAATAACGCAAAGAGTTTATTATAAAGAAATACCCGCACATTTCACAAAGCAAAGAGAACAAAATAATGGTAATTATTATATGTACCAATGCACACAAAAATATAATAACATTTATAAATTTTTTATAAGTTAACGCGTTTATATTTAATGTAAAATATTAATCTCCGCGGAAGAGTCTTCTACTCTCGTAAAAGCTGCTTTCTCATTTTTTTTTCATTAAAAGTTTAATGTAATTTCCAACAATAAGTACCGTTAACAGTCTAATTTATTTATTCGACATTCCGGTTTCTAGATGATAATTAATAACGCTTTTGTGATCATGACGAAAACTGGTCAAAAGGCTATTGCTGTTGCTGCTCCTAATGCCTTCTGCGCCGCCTACGGTACCGCTTGTACACGCAAACCAACGCCACAAAGACCACGATGAGATACACCGAGATCCACGAGGCGACGTGTATCCAGACCGCTCAACTTCCTCGGTCTCCATCTTCTGCGGCGGTTATCATGGCCGAGCACTCGTTGAACAGCTCGTACGTCCGATTGCTAAATCTCACTTTGGCGCACGCCTTGTGCAGTGCCGGTAAATCGGTGCATTTGTAGAATCGGGCTTCATCTTGATTTGTCGTAGCTTTACCCAGGCGTTAAAGGCCTGGCAATCACAGCTACCCTCGTTGAATCTAATTCTATTTCCGGTCAGATCAAGCTCCTTCAGCGAGCAGAACGGCGCCAGATCCTCGGTACTGACCCAAGTGATGAAATTGTCGGACACGTTGAGATTAAGGAGAGTCGGCTGGACGCCTATGTTGGATCACGGTTAGGAAGTTCTTGGATAGCTGCAGCAGTCTGAGGGGCGAGGTCACCTTCATCTTGAACACGGAATCGGTTAGCCTGTTGTAGTCGAGGTAGAGCGTGCAAAGATACGGCAATTGGAAGAGACTTTTGGGGAGAGTGTAGCAAAGATTTCGCGACAGATCTAGCAACTGCAGGTAAGGCTGATTGGCGAAAGCTGCCTCTTCAATATTAATAATCCAATTGTTACGTAGATAGATGAAGATCAGCTCTTTGTAAGGATGCAGACTGCCGTTCTTCAGTTCGATCAGTGGTTCTCAATAATATCCAGTACCTAGCAAACAGAGGAGGAGAACGTCAGGAATGTCATCAGAGATTAACCGTATATAGGGTGGGCGATTTTAATCGATCCACGCGAATATCCTTTAAGCGATGCATTTTAGAATACTTCATATAAAATTTTTTTATTTCGAGGGGAATATAAGATGGTGTCATTGGTTAGATTTGCATAGTCACTTAAAGATCACATAAAGGTCATCTTCCATTTTTAAATAAAAGTAGTTATAATACAAAATATGCATTGAAAAATAGAAGTTTTCATTTAAGAAATTAAGATAACTTTTAAGGATCATCAAAGGTCCATTATATAATATAAAAATTTTATATGGAAACTTAAATTAACATAAACTTTTATTGAATAATAATATTTAAAGATTTATGATATCGTTTTTAATTTGTAGTTCTTAATTTTCCATATTTAAAGAAAAGTGAAACAAAGTATCGTGGATTTTTACAACTTGTTAATACAAATTCCTCTATTTCATGCGCAAGTTGCAGATAAGATAAAAAAAAATCATTATATATGCAGTAAATATTCTTTTACGATGGGAAAAAAAACCTGACTATTTTTTAATATCGATTTTAAATAAGATATTTTTATACAACAGTCTCATCTTTATACCCGCCATCAAATCTAATTGGATTTCGTGCAATTTTAGATATAAGTAAATTTTATTATTATATTTAATTCATAAATCTTAATTTTTTTAACTATTGTCAAAAAAATGAGACGGAGTCTCACGGATTTTTAAAACACGCTATGAATTTTTTTTATTTATGCAAATTAGAGATAAGAAAAAGATTATAGCGATATATGCAAAAAATATTTTTTATAATAGCAAAAGCATACCTGACAATTTTTATTGCAATTTTATGTAAAATATATTTTTATTCATATTTGAAAATCTTACCTGTATGTCTGCTTTCAAATCTAACGGAATTTTGTTCGATTTTAATTTGGAGCACCGCGCTTTCAATATAGAATTAGTTCTACTGTAAGTGCACATAGTCGGTAGCGGATTCTGGTCCATTATTTTCGCGGCTTTTGGTGAACCCAGCACCAGAACATCCGGTATTGTGGCCACGACGAAGCACAGTAAGAAGAATCCGTTAATGAGAAAGATGCTCATATCTGGAAAAGAATCAGCAGAAATGTATACTTATAAACTTTGTTCGAACTATGCCGAAACCGGACAATTAATCGATCGCAAAAGTGCAATATTTGCGACTCCTTTTTTACACCGCAACATTATTATTTATAGTATATTAATATCACGGAATATCTCTCCATCTCTCTCTATTACATTTTAAATTATATATTTGTTATATGATATGTTATTTATTATTCTATATTTTATATATATATATTATTATTATATATTATCAAGGACAGCAAAAGTAGACGACCAGACTGGTTACAATTCAGATGTTTATTGTTGACACATTAGACCGACAATTTCGGTCAAGTGTCTACAATTAATATATCTATTAAATACACAATTAAATACACAAAATATGACACTTAATAATAAAAATTGATAGTAAAAAATAAAGTTTTAATACATGATTACGATATTAGACATATATGCCGATAAATCTAGACGTGTGTGGTATAAACATTACAATCAATCTAATTAAAAATGATATGAATTTCCGTGACAATATAATAAAGTATCAAGCATTGAAACTGTATACCGGTATGCAAGATACAAATTAAACGAAAAGGAAGAAAAAAGAGAGCGAAAATGGTTTGCGCGTATGACAAAAATAAATAAAGAGTAGAACCTACAGTAGTTATAAAAGCGAAATGATAAAAATGTGTCACATTACCTAGAGAAAATTAGTCAACTTAAACACACCACAGAACTTTACTTTATTACACAGATACGTTGAAATTAAGTCGTGTGGTGAGTCGAGAAACGATATGTGTCGATCGAGAATTCAATACGTACTAAATTCTCTGTGTTGGTATCAAAACAGTAGCGGTGACCTAGAGAGGTATATTATTTCAGAAGAAGCGTATATGATATTAAGAATGGAATCGTATATTAAATTTAATTTGTCTGTGTCTTTTTTTAAATTTATGGAAGCTTTATACATTTTTATAAAAATCATTTCCACAATATTTCTTCTTTTGTAATGCGTTTGTGTAGAATGGAGGAAGGTTGCCAGTTTAATCACGCTTGAAAATTATATATTATACATACAGAAATCAGTGCGCAAAACAAATTTACTCTTTATTCAATTTTCGAACGTTTCGACCATTTTCTGTAATCATATTCAGTGTATAATAAAAAACGACTTAAATTCTTATTGATATAAATTTATGGTTGCAAACGCCAGTTGTACGAAAAAATTAAGTATCGCCGCTAACAATTGTAAGACACGGAGTCAATAATTTTAAAAAACTGTTGTAAAACAAATCGCTATTACATCGATAAAAAGCACGCGACGATATTGAGCGATCGGCTTTCGAGGAGTTTATTTGACCGATATCAAAGAATTTAACGCCGACATTTCTTCGTGCATATATCGCTGTCAAAAGTATGTAATATTGAGAGTGATATTTTTTGTTTAAATACGCAAAGAATTTTTCTAAAATTCCGCACATTCACATAGATTTTTTATATAAAATTATCGTAACCATTATGTACGCGAACACGATATAATAACATTTATAAATTTTTATATATTAACGCGTTTATATTTGATGTAAATATATTAATCTCCCCGGAAGAGTCTTCTTCACCGATTATTTTCTTTAAAACCTGATTTCTCATTTTTTTTTTTTTTTTTTATTCAAAGTCTAAAGTAATTTCCAACAATAAGTACCATTAACAGTCTAACTTATTTTATTCGACATTTCCGGTTTCTAGATGATAATTAATAACGCTTTTGTTGATCATGACGAAAACTGTTCAAAAGGTTATTAGCTGTTGCTGTTTCTAATGCCTTCTGCGCCGCTTACAGTACCGCTTGTACACGCAAAACAACGCCACAAGGACCACGATGAGGTACACCGAAATGCAGGAGGCGACGTGTATCCAGACAGATCGAGGCTTCTCGGTTTTTATCTTTTGTTGTATCATAGCCAAGCACTCGTTGAACAGCTCGTACGTCCGATTGCTGAATCTCACGTTGGCGCACGCCTTGTGCATTGCCGGTGAATCGGTGCATTTGTAGAGATCGGGCTTTATTTTGATTTGTCGTAGCTTTACCCAGGCGTTGAACGCCTGGCAATCACAGCTACCCTCGTTAAATCTGATTTTATTTCCGGTCATATCGAGTACCTTCAGCGAGCAGAACGGCGCTAGATTTTCGGTGCTGACCCAGGTGATGAAGTTGTCGGACACGTTGAGATTAAGGAGAGTCGGCTGGACGCCTATGTTCGGGATCACGTGTAGGGAGTTCTTGGATAGCTGCAGCAGTCTGAGAGGCGAGGTCACCTTCATCTTAAACACAATATCGGTAAGCCTGTTGTGGTCAAGGTAGAGCGTGCGAAGATACGGCAATTGGAAGAGACTTTTGGGCAGATTGAAGATATAGTTGAACGACAGATCCAGCATCTGCAGGTAAGGCTGATTGGCGAAAACTGTCTCTTCAATGTTAATAATCCAATTGTTACGTAAATAGATGAAGATCAGCTTTTGTAAGGATGCAGACTGTCGTTCTTCAGTTCGATCAAGTGATTCCCGATAATATCCAGTACCTAGCAAACAGAGGAGGAACGTCAGGAGTGTCATCAGAGATTAAACGTATATAGGGTGGGCGATTTTAATCGATCCACGCGAATATCATTTGAGCAATGCATTTTAGAATGCTTCATACAAATTTTTTTATATTTTGAGGGAAATATAAGATGGTGTCTATGATTTGATTTTGCATAGTCACTTAAAGATCACATTAAGATCATCTTCCATTTCTTAAATGGAAGTAATTACAAATATATGCATTGAAAAATAGGAGTTTTTATTTAAGAAATTGAAGATAACCTTTAAAGGACCATCGAAGGTCAATTATATGATATAAAATTTTATATGGAAACTTAAATTTAACATAAACTTTTATTGAATAATAATATTTAAAGATTTATGATATTGTTTTTAATTTGTAATTATTAATTTTCCATATTTAAAGAAAAGTGAAACAAAGTTTCGTGGATTTTAAGAACTCGTTAATACAAATTTCTCTATTTCATGCGCGAGTTGTAGATAAGATAAAAAAAGTCATTATATATGCAGTAAATATTCTTTTATAATGGAAAAAAACACATGACTATTTTTTAATATCAATTTTAAATAAAATATATGTCTTTCTATACAACAGTCTGATCTTTATGTCCGCCATCAAATCTAATTGGATTTCGTGCAATTTTAGATATAAATAAATTTATTATATTATATTTAATTCGTAAATTTTAATTTTTTTAACTATTGTCAAAAAGTAAAACGAAGTCTTACGGATTTTTAGAACACGCTATGAATTCCTGTATTTTATGCAAATTAGAGATAAGATAAAAAAGATTATAGCGATATATGCAAAAAATATTTTTTATAATAGCAAAGCATACCTGACAATTTTTTATTGCGATTTTATGTAAAATATATTTTTATTCATATTTGAAAATCTTACCTGTATGTCCGTCTTCAAATCTAACGGAATTTCGTTCGACTTTAATTTGGAGCACCGCGCTTTCAATATTGAATTAGTTTTACTGTAGGTGCACATAGTCGGTAGCGGATTCTGGTCCATTATTTTCGCGGCTTGCGGTGAACCCAGTACCAGAACATCCTGTACTGTGGCCACGACGAAGCACAGTAAGAAGAATCTATTCATGAGAAAGATGCTCATATCTGGAAAAATATCAGTAGAAATGTATGCTTATAAACTTTGCCGAAACCGGATAATTAATCGGTCGCAAAAGTGCAATATTTGCGATTCCCTTTTTACACCGCAACATTATCATTTATAGTATATTAATATCACGGAATATCTCTTCATCTCTCTCTATCACTTTTTAAATTATATATTTGTCATATAATATGTGCTATATTATTTTATATTTTATATATATTTTATTATTATACATATATTATCAAAGACACTGAAAGTAAACGACCAGACTAATTACAATTCAGATGTTTATTGTTAACACATTCGACCGACAATTTCGGTCAAGTGTCTACAATTAATATATCTAAATTAAATACACAAAATATGACACTTACTAATAAAAATTGATAGTAAAAAATAAAGTTTTAATACAGGACTACGATATTACACATATATGCCGATAAATCTAGACGTGTGTGGTATAAACATTACAATCAATCTAATTAAAAATGATATGAATTTCCGTGACAATATAATAAAGTATCAAGCATTGAAATTGTATACCGGTTAGCAAAATACAAATTAAACGAAAAAGAAGGACAAGAAAGCGAAAATGGTTGTGCGCGTATGACAAAAATAAATAAAGAGTAGGACCTACAGTAGTTATAAAAGCGAAATGATAAAAATGTGTCACATTACCTAGAGAAAATTAGTCAACTTAAACACAGAACTTTACTTTATTACACATGTACGTTGAAATTAAGTCGTGTGGTGAGTCGAGAGACGATGTGTATCGATCGAGAATTCAATACGTACTAAATTCTCAGTGTTGGTATCAAAACAGTAGCGATGACCTAGAGAGGTATAATATTTCAGAAGAAGCGTATATGATATTAAGAATCGAATCGTATATTAAATTTAAATTGTCTGTGTCTTTTTTTAAATTTATAGAAACTTTATACATTTTTATGAAAATTATTTCCACAATATCTCTTCTCTTGTAATGCGTTTTTTTAGAATAAAAGAAGGTTGCCAGTTTAATCACGCTTGAAAATTATATATTATACATACAGAAATCAGTGCGCAAAACAAATTTACTTTTCATTCAATTTTTGAATGTTTCGACCATTTTTTGTGGTCATATTCAGTGTATAATAAAAAGCGACTTAAATTCTTATCGATATAAATTTATGGTTGCAAACTCTAGTTGTACAAAAAAATTAAGTCTTACCGCTAACAATCGTAAGACACGGAATCAATAATTTTAAAAATTTTTGCAAAATAGATCGCTATTATTCGATAAAAAGCACGCGACGACATTGATCGATTGGCTTTATTGAGAAGTTCATATGACCGGCATCGAAGAATTAACGCCGAAATTTTTTCTACATATGTATATCGCCGCTAAGAGTATAGTATAATGATTGTTCAAGCACGCAGAGAGTTTCTGGAAAATTCCGCCACATTCACATAAATTCTTATATAAAAATATCATAATTATTTAATACGCAAACACAATATAATAGCATTCATAAATTTTTCTTATAAGTTATCGCGTTTATATCATATTAATCTTTGCGGAACTGTCTTCTTCATTGATTACTTTCGTTGAAGTATGAAGAATTGAACATTGTGCAATGTGTATTAATAATAATCAAATACAAACTTAGGCACGCAAATATATATCCGATTAAATTCTCTGTGAATTCTCAGTCAATTAAACTCTTTCAATAAACACAAACACTTCTTGTTCTTTTTTACTTATATATTGTATATTATGGCACTTTTTTATATATTGGCACCAAACACAGGGTCGACCGTAATAAATTGTTAAACGGGTATTTAAGCGTCTATGCAAAAATATCATTAGAAACAGATTTTCCAGACCTTGTTTTCAGATGAATAACTTTTTTTCTATAATAAGAGATCCTAAGACATACCGCTATGCTAATAATTTTGAAATTAGATGTCAAAGAAGCCAAAATGGGCCTTTGTCCAAATATATGTGCGTATATATGTAAATATCTTGTTAAACGAAACTATTCCGGGCTCTGTTAATTAACAAATAAATTTTTTTCTGTCGTAAATAATTTAAGAGTATGCAACCTTACTCGGAAAATTCTATTCTCGCGCAAAATTCTACTCTCGCATATTGTCGACGCCAGAAACAGCTCTTTTAACAGGATTCTACGTTCTATCAGCGATTATTTCACTAATCATCGTCAGGTTGCTGTTGGAATAATTGTGTGTTGTCGTAGATCGCCATTAGCTGTTCCTTCTGCTTTATGTGCCGCCTACGGTATCGCTTGTGCACGAACAACGCTAGGAAAAGGAACACCAAGACGCACGGGGCGACGCTTATCCAGATCCAATCGAGGCTTCTCGGTCTCCATCTTCTGCTGTGTCATTGCCAAGCACTCGTTGAACAAGTTGTGCGTCCGATTGCTGAATCTCACGTTGGCGCAGTCCTCGTTCAGAGCTGCTGGTGGATCGGTGCATTTGTAGAGATCGGGCTTCATCTTGATTTGTCGTAGCTTCACCCAGGCGTTGAACGTCTGACAATCACAGCTGCTCGCGTTGAATCTGATTTTATTTCCGGTCAGATCAAGCTCTTTTAGCGAGCAGAAGGGCGCCAGATCCTCGGTGCTGATCGAGGTGATTATGTTGTAAGACACGTCGAGATGAAAGAGGGTCGGCTGGATGCCTATGTTCGGGATCACGGTGAGCAAATTCTTGCTCAGCTCCAGCAGTCTGAGGGGCGAAGTGACCTTCACTTTGAACGCCAAATCGATAAGTCTGTTGTTGCCGAGATAGAGCGTGCAAAGATATGGCAATTGGAAAAGACTTTTGGGCAGTTTGTAGCAATAGTTGTGCGACAGATCTAGCACCTGCAGGTAAGGCTGATTGGCAAAAGCTGCTTCTTCGATTATTTGAATGGTATTCTTATGTAGATAGATGAAGGCCAGTTTTTTGTAAGAATGCAGACTGTCGTTACTCAATATTCGTATTTGAGTCCAAGTAATATTCAGCACCTAGCAAATAAAGGAGGAACATCAGGAGTGTTATCAAAGATGAAACGTATACAGAGTTGGCGATTTTAATATATCCACACGAATATCTTTTGAGCAATGCATTCTAGAATGCTTTATACACAAGTTTTTTTTACTTTGAGGGGAAGATTCGAATAAATTTTATTATAATATTATTTATAACTTATAAATCATAATTTCATAATAATTGTAAAAAAAACAGTGCCTTACGGATTTTTAGAATTAGTTATGAATTTCTCTATTTTATGCGAATTGCAGATAAGATAAATAAAATTGTCACTCTATATGCGGTAAATATTGCTTTATAATGAAAAAAAATATATGACTGTTTTTCTTACAATTTTGAGTAAAATATATTTAAAATAGAATCTTACCTGTATGTTCGGATTCAAATATAAAGGGATTTTGTACGCGTCCAATCTGAAGCATTGAGCTTCCAATATCGAATTAGATCTGATGTAGTGGCACGTATTCGGAAGCGGATCCTGATCCATTATTTCCGCGGATTCCGATGAATCCATGAAGACATCCGGTACTAAAGCTACGGCGAAGCCCAGTAAAAGAAACCCGTTGAAGAGAAAGATTCTCATATCTGCAACAGAATCAGCGCAAACGTACGCTTATAAACTTTGCCCAATTTTTCTGCAATCAAGTAATTGATCGCTCGCGAAGGTACAATTTGGGATTCCCTCTTTATAACGCCACATTATCTTTTTTGGTATTTTAGTATCACGCAATATCTCTTCATCTTTCTTTATATATTACATCTTAAATTATATAATTTGTAATAAAATATATTATATATTATTTGATATTTTGATTTTAAACTTCTTAAATAAATTTAATCTTAAATAATTTTTAGACTTCTTTTTATGCAAACTTTAAATTTGCAAATAACTGCAAATTAATACAAATGACAGCTGCTCAAGACATGAACTGAGCACATTGAAAGAACCAATCGGCATCACGAAAAACGGCAACAATTAAAGCGTCACATGCCTTTTTTAAATAGGATGTGTCCATCAAGTAAAAAACAAAAAGTTTATATATAGAAAAACTTACCTTTAAGCATTGCTCTGAAATTACCTCTGAAATTGCTTGCACGTGCAACTAAAATTCTCGACGTCTAGCTAATAGTTACGTTTTTCAAAGTTATTAAAATAATCTCGGTAAGCAAATCCTTTATCGTAACTATTATTTATGCGACAAAAATATATATAATAAACACAAATACAATATAAAAACAACTTGCAATTTGAGTTTTTCTTAATGACTCGATTGATTTTCTATGCACTAACACACGAGGCTTAGTGTATCGTGGACAGCCATAAACTGAGAATGACCAAATGCCTCATAAAGTGGTAGGGACAAAGAAAAAGATAAAATAAATATTTCTTTTATCTTCTATTCCTGTTTTCACAACGATACTACTTCGGCCGTACCCTGGAAATTTTTGGTCTAGCTTTTTATTAGTGGGAAAAATTTATTTTCTTTTGTGTAATTTTCAGGTCTCGTTCAATTGTTTGCATTATATTATAGACTATGAATTATCTGCGTCATAAGCAATTTTTGCTTGCACCTAAGTTATTTCTATTACAACTTCATGAATTCTTTTTCCTTAATATTATTTTAGAATTGTATCTATTTCTGCAACAAAATCTAGTTATCTCTAAAATTTCTCAAAATTATCTTTTTATGTGTTTTTGATAATGTTCATAACCATAAAATTGCATACTAAAAATCATATTTGTTCTGTTCATAAAATTTGAAATGTACAATATATTAAGTACGACAGTTTCTCACAACAAAACATTTAATTGATATCATGAAATACAAGCAGCAATTATTTTCGAGACTTTACAGTAATGTTTTAATTTTTGTAAGTGAATACATAAGTTTGCGTGTGTAAATATTTAAAAATAATTTTATTATTATTAATGCATATTTTTTTAGAAATCCTATTTTAATGTTATATTTTGTTCTGTTGAGAGATATATATTTTCATCGATAAGAGAAAAAAACGTACCAAGTTGTGACTAATGTACATCTAATAGACATTCATCGAATGTCCGATAAGTGGTAGGGACAAAGAAAAAGATAAAATAAATATTTTTTTATCTTTTACTCGTGTTTCCGCAACGATACTTCTTTGGCCGTACTCTGGGATTTTTGGTCTAACTTCTTTATTAGTGGGAAAAAATTCATTTTCTTTTGTGTAATTTTCAGGTCTCGTTCAATTGTTTGCATTATATTATAGACTATGAATTATCTGCGTCATAAAATAAAAGCAATTTTTGCTTGCACCTAAGTTATTTCTATTACAACTTTATGAATTCTTTTTCTTAATATTAATTTAGAATTGTTTCTATTTCTGCAACAAAATCTAGTTATCTCTAAAATTTTTCAAAATTATCTTTTTATGTGTTTTTGATAATGTTCATAACCATAATAATTGCATACTAAAAATTACATTTGTTCTGTTCATAAAATTTGAAATGTACAATATATTAAGTATGACAGTTTCTCACAGCAAAACATTTAATCGATATGAAATATAAGCAGCAATTATTTTCGAGACTTTAAAGTAATGTTTTAATTTTTGTAAATGAATACATAAGTTTGTGTGTGTAAATATTTAAAAATAATTTTATCATTATCAATGCATATTTTTTTTTAATTTTATTTTGTTTGATTTGTGTCATTTGTCAGAGATTGGACCGCTCTACATATATTTATTTTGTGTGTCATATTAAAAGAATTCTATATCTTTTACAATATAATAACGATATAGTAACGATAAAAAAACATATACTCATGTATATATGTGTAATGTAAATGTTCCAAGCTATATAATATACACTTTAACGTATATTGTAGTCGGTTTTCCGATATATTAATTTAATATAACTAAATCACAGAGCCAAACATGCATAAATTAAATATTTTTCGCAGATTTTTGAAACCAGACAGATTGTTAGAATATTAATTGGAAACTATGTCTTTTGGTTTGAGACAAACAGTTCCTGATAATTTTGTTATTTTGGTTATTATAATAATAACCAAATGCTTTCGGAAAAAGGGGGGAAAATAAGAAAAAAGATGTAATATATATTTTTTTTATTAAAAAATGTATTTTTATATTAGATGAAAGTTATTGATATATAAAAAAGTTATTTTTAAATATTAATATATAATATTAAGTTTTAAAAATTAATAGTGTCTTATTAAATGGTTGTTCTTTCTGTACCAAAGTTTATTGTATAAAAGTAATATAAAAACTACATATTATTTTGTACTAACAATAAATGTTTTTTAAAACATATATAAATTGTATTTATCATAAAATAAAAAGTAAAACTTAACAAAATTTATTTAATCGTTATTTTTAATTAAAATTTACAATTAAAAAGATGTCCTAAATCAATCCATAGTTCATCCAAAGTTGGCTATATTTCGAACATCATTAAACGACGTTCATTGGATGTCCGATAAATTTTATTTGGATTGTTTAAAAATATCCCAATGTTCAGGAACGAATTTTTACTAAACATACATTAGACATCTTTGTGTTATCTGGATTTAATATATCAATCTTCGCGGAACTCTCTTTCTTTTTACTGGATAATAATTAACAACGCTTATGTAGATCATAACGACTTTGTTCAAAAGGCTATACAATATATTGTATATACAGAAACTCGAGATATCGAAAATAATACGTTGGACTTTTAATGGTACTTATTGTTGGAGATTACTTAACTCTGAATGAAAAAAAATGAGATAACAGACTTAAACAAAAGCAATCAATGAAGAAGACAGCTCCGCAAAGATTAATATACTTATATCCAGATAGAACAAGAATATCTAATGTATGTCCAGTGAACTCTTTCTAAAAAATTTGTAAAATATTGTTCAAAAATGGCAAATGCGCCAGAAGAAATATTCAAACTATTATAATAATCTTACGTTTATTGCACATTGTGCGATATGTATTAATAATAATCAGATACAAACTTAGGCACGCAAATATATATCCGATTAAATTCTCTGTAAATCCACTGTTGATTTAATTCTTTCAACAAACACCAACAGTTCTCGCTCTCTCTTTCTCTTATTTATAACAAAAACATCATTAATTTCTCAAATAACTTTTGACCAAAAATGATAGTTAAATCAACGTCGTATCGATGTCAAATCAAAATCGAATTGGTCGGATCGATATCGATTCGACGTCTTTTCGATCGATCATTTCTGATAAGGCCTCGCTTACACTTTCATCCCGTCCTTCTTGCGTAAATTTTACTCTCGCATATTGTCGACGCCAAAAACAGCCCTTTTTACAGGACTCTATGTTCTATTAGCCATTATTTAACTAATTATTGTCAGATTGCTGTTGGAGCAGCTCGGTATTGTTGTAGATCATCGTTAGCTGCTCCTGCTGTTTCCTGCACTGTCTACGATTCCAATTGTGCACGCAAAACAACGTCACGAAGACGATGAAGAGGCATACCAAGACACACGAGGCGAAGATTAACCAAACCGATCGAGGTTTTCGGGCTCCATCTTCTGCTGTATATCCTTTTCCATCTTCTGCTGTATGTCCTCCTCTATCATCTGCTGCATCATGGCCAAACACTCGTTAAACAGCTCGTACGTCCGATTGCTGAAACTCACGTTGGCGCAGGTCTTGTTTAGAGCCGATGAATAGGGGCATTTGTAAAGTTTGGGCTTCATCTTGATCTGACGCAGCTTCACCCAGGCGTTAAACGTCTGACAATCGCAGCTGCGCGCGTTGAATCTGATATCATTCCCGGTCAGATCGAGATCATTTAGCGAGCAGAACGGCGCCAGATCTTCGGTTCTGATTGAGGTGATGAAGTTATTGGACACGTTGAGATTAAGGAGGGTCGGCTGGAGTCCTATGTTCGGGATCACTCTTAGCTCGTTATCGGACAGCTGCAGTATTCTGAGAGGCGAGGTGACATTCACATTGAACATGCGATCGGTGAGCCAGTTTTCGCCGAGATAGAGCGTGTGAAGATACGGTAATTGGAAGAGACTTTTGGGCAGAATTCTGCAAAAACTGTTTGTGAGATCCAGCACTTGCAGGTAAAGCTGATTGGCAAAGGCTGCCTTTCTGATTATACTGATTATATTGTGACGTAGATAGATGAATTCCAGTTCTTGTATAGATGCAAACTGTCGTTATTCAATGTGAACAGCAAACTCCCGGTAATATTCAGCACCTAGCAAACAAAGGAGGAATGTCGGAGGATTTTAATCGATCCACGCAGAATATCCTTTGAACAATGCATTTTAGAATGTTTCATACAAAAGTTTTTTTACTTTGAAGAGAATATAAGATTGGAGCAAATTTTATTATAATATTATTTATAACTTATAAATCTTAATTTCATAATTATTGTAAAAAAATTAAAAATAAAATAATAGAGTCTCACGGATTTCTACAACTCGTTACAAATTTCTCTATTTTATGCGAATTATAGATAAGATTTCAAAAATCTTCACAATAAATATATATGCAGAAAATATTCTTTTATAATGGTAAAAATATACATAACAATTATTTTATTGCAATTGTAAATAAAATATATTTAAACGATCTCACCTGTATGTCCGGATTCAAATCTAACATTGCGATTGTTTGCGATTCTAATTGGAAGCATCGCGCTTCCAATACCGAATTAGCTGTGATGTAGCGGCACGTATTCGGAAGCGGATTCTGATCCATTATTTCCGCGGATTTTGATGAATTCACGAAAACATCCGGTACTGGGGCTACGACGAAAACCAGTAAAAGAAACCCGTTGAAGAGAAAGATTCTCATATCTGCAACAAAATCAGCGCAAACGTACGCTTATAAACTTTGCCCAAATTTTTCTGCAACCGAATAATTAATCGCTCGCGAAGTGCAATTATTGGGATTCTCTCTTTACACCGCTACATTATCATTTATGTTATTTGAGTATCACGCAATATCTCTCCATTTTTCTCTATTACATTTTAAATTATATATTTGTAATATAATACATTATTTGATATTTTATATATATTCTATTATTATGTATTATCAAGAACAGCGGAAGTAGATGATCAGTCTGGCTACAGTTCAAGTGTTTATTCTTGACACCGACATTTTCGATCAAGTGTCTGTAATTAATACATCTAACTTAAGGGATGCCGGAGGTATGTTTTATTGACCAAATGCGAATATTTAGTTTTTTTTTAAATAACTTTTTATTGACTATACTGATGAATAAATCCTTTGCCACGATTAAAGTAATTATAAAAACGGACCGCGTTAGCTATGATTGCATATATAAATCATATAAAAATAAAAAAATTACAGTTTTGTTATCGACTTCTTTGTGTCAGTTCGTAACAATACTTATTTAATAAAAAGTTCTGCAGTTTGTCTGTGCATGAAATATAGTATACGCGGTAAGGATAATATGAAGAATTATTAGTAAACGATTATAGTAAATTAGTGAGATTAAAAGTATAAAAAAGTTATATATTAAAAACGTTTTCACGCGTATGTATTGTATACGTGCATATGTTTAAATGTGTGTGGTGCTAACTTATCGGAGTTTGGCCGTCGCTCCGGCATCCCCTTAAATACAAAAAATATGACAATCAAGAATATAAGAATTGATAGTAAAGAATAAAGTACTAATACATGACTAAAATATTACACATATATCGCGATAAATCTAGGCGTGTGTGATATAAACATTACAATCAATCCAATTAAAAATGATACGGATTTCCATAACAATATAATAAAGTATCGAACACTGAAATTGTATTCCGGCATGCAAGATACAAACTAAACAAAAGGAACGATAAGAGAGCAAAAATCATTGTGTGCGTATAACAAAGATAAATAAAGAGTAGGCACTATAGTAGTTATAAAAGCGAAGTGATAAAAATGTGTCATATTATCTAGAGTAAATTAGATAACTTAAACACACCACGGAACTTTATTTCATTGCACAAGCACGTTTAAAATAAGTCGTTACTGTGATGCATCGTTGAAAGACGATGTGTGCAGATCCAGCATTCTATAAGTACTAAACTTTATATGATATTAAGAATCGAATAGTATATTGAATTCAACTTGTTGTGTCTTTCTGTAAATTGATTGAGTCTTTATGCGTTTTTATAAAGATCATTTCTTCAATCTCTTATCTCTTGTAATACGTTTCTGTATGTAGAATGAAGTGAGATTGTTAGTTAAAATCATGATTGAATGTTATATATATTATATATATATATATATATATATATATATATATATATATAAGATTACATATTATATATTTTATAATATATTTTAATTATAAATAATATTCCTTAATATTCAAGAATAATTGAATTTCAAAAAATCGATATTTTCAATATTTAAAATCGTTTATAAAAAGGAAAATTTAATAAATAATAAGTTTAAATAGCAAGTTTCGGCTGTCATTGCGAGATAGTTTCAAGAAAAATCTATAAAAGAAAAATAAAAATAATTAAAATTTAACACTTATTCGCAACAATAATTATACATTTAAAAACAAAATGTGTTACATACCAAATTTAAAACAGTAAATCAACTTCTATGCAAACAACCGACAATGTTAACGCTTGATGAAACAATGCAAGACTGACAGAAGTAAGCACATAATAAATAGATGTTAACTGTTCGCAAGAATCTTAGTCACTAAGCGTTAAGAAAATAGAGACGAAACTAAATGTGTCTTTCGTAATTTAAATCGTCATAATAAAGTCAAATAATAAAAATAATAAATAGGTGGATATAAAAATAAAAATAAAAGTAAAAATAAAACGACTTAAATAACGTCAAGAACACGATCATAAATCCCACTAAAATTCTCCGTATCTTTCTGTAAATTATACTTTTTCCTTGTTTTTTTTATGGAACATTTCTGCAATTTCTCTTTTCTTGTTTGTTTTCTTCTTCATGCAGAATCACCGGAGAATCCTAACGGAACTCATGATCGTTGCAAGTCCGATGCAAACTAACGACAGAATGCAATGTCTTGTCTTTTTTTATGTTATTTCTATGTTCTTTAATGCGCGTTTCTAAATGTCTCTTTGTCTGTCCAATATAAGCCGAATCGCAATTCGCACATTCAATTTTATAAACCACATCAGTTCTTTTTAAGTTTTCGATCCCATCTTTACTCTTTTTTTATCAATGTGTCAATTTTTTTGGGACAGTATATAAGCATCAATTCCACTTTTATTAATGCAACGCGTAATATTCTCGCTCAGATCTTAATATAAGGTAACACAATGCAATTTCGCGTATCAAATTTATTTCGATTGGGCGAGTTAAGATTACCCGCCAAATTTAATCGCTCGAAGTCTTTTATTATGGTTTTGTTTATAATTGTTAACGGGTAACAATTATTAATAAGAATTCTTTTTGATTAAATTAATATTTTCCTTCAGAAAAATAGGGTCAGCGAGTAAAATAGCCTATCAACTAGGCTTGTAATCACGCTGATTTTATATCTCATAGAATGATTTGACAGAAAATTAATATAGCGGCCTGAATACGTAGGCTTGCGGTACCAATTGGTCGTTAATATCTACCACCAATACGTATAACGT